TTAAATCGAGTTGTTGCTAGTTTGAGTCCGGGTCTTTTTTTTTCTGAAAGAGTTTTGTCTGCCTCAAAGTAATATAATGCTTTTGATGTATAAATACCTGTATTTTCGAATGTACTGAAAACAGTAGAATTTTAAACTCGTTTGTTCAAATCAATAGGTTTATAATTAACTATGATTCCAGGAATAATCAACTGAAACACCTGCACATTTCACCTGAGGTGCAGTTCCACATGTGTGTCGGCATTATAAACACACACATACACATACAAATCATCGATTTCCACACGATGCATTCACCTATATTTCTCATTTTCCGACCAACATATATCGACATGAATTTTCACCAAATAAAGTAAACGAGCACTCTCTCCCCAACCCATCACGTCAACGTCACGCTTTTACATGTTTTCGTTTCGTCGCCAACGCAATTCTGGGGCAGTTTGAATGATTAGGTATAATTGCGAATGACGACACGTGTTGGTCTCTGTCAGGTATTTGAATGATGCGTCAATAAAATTCGAGTATATGTTTATTGTAGATAAAAACGTTAATAAAATGTGTTTTTCTAGACTCAATGAATATTATTATTCGCATAGACTATGAAAAACTAGCCCATAACCGATTACTGTTTCATATATAGCAGGTAAATGCAATTTTTGTTTGATTACTAATTGTAATATTGTACAAAATAGAATAGGCAGAACGATTTGAGTCGCCTTGAGTGTCTAATGTGATCAGCTGTTGTTGCTGTTGGCTGATTCTCATGCATGTGTTATATCGGTAATCACTTGGTAACTAAATAATTATTTTACTTAATAATAAATAAAATCTAATTTCAGAAGTAGGATTCGTTCACTAAAAGTACCACGGAAGTACCTAGGGGGTGATTATTCCTGTAAGTATTTCCAAGATTATTAATTCGTTAAATTTATCAGTTGATTGATTGTTATTGGCTATATTGGCGAATGTCATTTTTGTATTAATTCGTTAAATTTGTCAGTTGATTGATTGTTTGAGATTCTTATTGGCCATATAGGCGAATGTCCTTTTTTGTGTTAATTCGTTAAATTTGTCAGTTAAAATTGTTATTGACGATATTGGTGGTATTCATTTGACACACCGTCATCCTGTAGAGGCAAATAATTGTATGTTGCCGAGAAAATTGTTATTCTACTGTTTAGAAAAAAAATTTCCACTATGGAGCTTATTGTTTTAAAAAGAAACTTACCAACCATTAGGCTATAGAATAAATTATATTATTTATTGATTTTGATAGTTTTTTTTTAAATAAATTTATAATTCAACTATCTGATAGATACCGGAGAGAATGTAGAATGGCAAAAACTTCCAATTGTAATTTAGAGCACTGATAACGTTAAAAGGTGTACGAAACGCAACTTTTAAAAATGGTAAAATACCATTAAGAATTGAATGCTATAGGTTCCAAAATATGGCACTTTATCGACAAACAAATTACAAGAAAATGGAATACCGCAAGCCTCTGTAATAAGCCCTACCTTTTTTTATGGCTATTAACAATATTGTTAAAATGTCCAAAATCCAGTCAAGACGAGACTATATGCCAATGACCTTATTTATTTATTTATTTATTTATTTATTTATTTGTTCCATCCTAACAGGCTTACTGGCCTAAATTACAAGGATAGACTTTACAATATTTATTATTTACACAATCGATCAAAACGTATTAATATACATATTAAATAAATAGATATATAGATATAGGGGGATTAAACACAAACTCATATTGAGAAAAAAAATTTCTAAAAAATAAAAAGCAAATCATATAATAAAAGAAATGGAAAAACTAAAATAATTAAACAGACAAGTTCACAATATACCTATAAATTAGGTATCTGAATGTTATTAGAGGCATATGCCAATCTACTTCGTGCAAGCAAGTAATATTATTTGCTAAACGGAGCATGGTTAGGAGAGGTGATCGAAGAGTGCTACTTACAAAGGGAATATTAAACATAATCGCGGAACGCGTAGGTCTAGGAGGTACATTAAATGGCAAAACTGACAATATTTCTGCGGAATTTATATGGTTATTTATGATTTTATACAAAAAAAGTATAGCAAACATTTTTCTCCTACAGTCTAAAGAAGGTATTTTAAATTCACTTCGTAATTGTGTTGTTCTGACACTATTATAATCTGGTCTAATAAAGTATTTTTTAAAGTAAAGGTATCTTAATAATTTGTTTTGTATTCTTTCTAATTCCTGCAAAATGGTTTGGTATTCTCCATTCCATATTACAGAGCAATATTCAAGTTTAGATCTTACTAACGTAACATATATCAATTTTATAGAATCGATTTTGACAAAAAGAGACGTTTGTCGTATCGTAAATCCAAGAGCGCGATTTGCAGATTTTACTACATTTTCAATGTGTTTTTTAAAAGATAGTTTATAGTCATACGCAATTCCTAAGTCTTTGAATTCATATACCCGTTTTAGTGACTCATTATCCATACAGTAATCAAAAATAATTGGATCCTTTTGTCGAGTAATTGACATTACATTGCATTTTTTAATATTAAAGTCTAATTTACATTGAGCACTCCATTCCAATACACTGTTTATATCTTTTTGCAAAGCTGAACAATCTCTAACGGTTTGTATAGGCTTAAATATTTTTACATCATCAGCAAAAAGTGAACATTTGGAATATCTAATAACATCTGGCAAATCATTAATAAATAAGAGGAAAAACAAGGTACCCAAGTTAGATCCCTGTGGAACCCCCGATGAAGCGTGAAATTTACCTGAAGTGTTTCCATCGTGTTTTACTACAAAAAGTCGATTTTGTAAATAACTTTTAAAAAGATTCATAATATTTTCAGATAGTCCAAAACGATAAATCTTTTGTAGTAAGACGCCATGATCCACTTTATCAAAGGCCTTGCTAAAATCTGTAAATATTGTGTCTAGTTGAGTCTTATTTTCTAATGAGTCATTTGCTTCGTTGATTTATATTAACAGATTTGAATTCACAGATTTTTTGGATACAAACCCGTGTTGTTGTTCTACAATGGTATTTTCGACAAATGCATACAGTTTACTATAAATAATTTGTTCAAAGAGCTTTGAAGGAGCACACATAACAGATATCGGCCTATAATTTTTTATACTACGTTTATCCCCAGTTTTATATATTGGGGTACAAATTGAAGTCTTCCACTGCTCTGGAAAGGCAGCATTATTGATTATCAGATTAAATATGTGCAGTAATGGGTCACGTAACTATTCTTGACAGCCTTTCAGTATGTATGGTGGTAAACCATCTACGCCCGCTGATTTTTTTGGTTTAAGCTTTTTAATAGCTTTATTAAAGTCTGAAACAGTTATAGATTTTATTGAAAATGTATCGTTAGCTATATTTTGAAAACTTTTAAAATTTACATTGTAGTCGGTTGCATTTGTGGAGTATACACTGGCAAAAAACTCTGCAAAGCATTGTGCTGTATCTTTGGACGGAATTTCCTTATCGTCGTGAATGTAATTTTCATTAGTTGAACTCTGACCCCTCCTCTTGCTAACATAATTCCAGAAAACATTAATGTCTGTGCTTACCTTATCTTCAATAGATTTAACATAATTTGTATATTCTTTTTTCGTAAGATATTTTAATTTTTTCCTAATCTCTATATATTTTTCAGTATAATAGGCTGAAATGTGCTTTATTTTCCTTAACTTATTCTTTTCCGCAATTAACTCTTTGATTTCTCTATTGTACCATACCGGAAATTTATTGTGATTTTTATATAATTTAAATTCAGGAACACACATTGAAAAAATATTATTTAAAATTTTATAAAAATTATTTAATGCTCTATCTACATTAGATTCTAAACATACCTCATTCCAATTAACGTCCTTGATAAGTTCTGCCATAAGATTGAAATTAGATTTTTTTAAATTATATTTAAAATTGCTGTTACTCTTGGCTTCATGTTCTGATAATTCATGTTCTGATAAGTTTTCTACAAATTGTAGAATAATTTCTAGTGAAGGATGGTATGAGTCCTCAATAATTAAAGGACTTGATGCATGTGTAATATTGCATGACTTTTCGTCTGAACATATTACTAAATCCAAAGTCCTTCCTTAAAAGTTAGTGACATCGTTATACAAGTTAAAAAAATTAAAATTTAAGAAGTCATTTAAAGTAGAAAGTTTTGTATTAAAATTGTGGTTGGGAATGAATGAGCCACTGATTTCCGGTAAGTTAAAGTCTCCGAATATAAAGTTTTCATTACTCGCAGTAATGTTGTCCTGTAAAAAATGTATGCAAGAATCAAAAACAGCATAAGAGATACCCGGCGGAATATATATACAGGCCAATGTAATTTGTATATGGCTTTTTGTCTTAATTTTGAGTATTATTGCCTCAAATTGAGTACTATTCTTTATTACTTTCAGTATTTTAAACTTTTTTTTTAACGCAATAAGTACTCCTCCCCCTTTTACCTTATTGGTTATTTCTTTATTTCTGTCTGCCCTAATTAGGTTGTATTTACTTAAATCAACTAATTCTCCGTCTACTACTCCCTCTCTCAACCATGTCTTCGTCATCAAAACTACATCATAATCTTGTTCACAAGTATTTCTAAATAAATCATGAGTTTTTGTGTTCAATCCCCTGACATTTTTTAATAAACTAAAAATTCGTTCATTGCATTAAGTGCCCCTGAAAATAGATAATTAATAGAAATTAAAATTAAAATTTTTGGAGTTATTATAATAAATCGTTTCCATAAAAATAGTCAACTAAATAGTTAAAAAAAAAAGAATTTATATATATATATATATATATATATATATATATATATATATATATAGCAAACAAATTCATATTTTAGTTTTATTAAATTACGATTCTAAATAGAAAGAATAAAACATTAATGTCCCTATAAAAAAACACACCACCGAAAAACCAAACCAATAATGTTTCTATAAAAATAAACCGAACCAAAAACCGATCTTCTAGATAAGAACTTGTTGGCAGTACCATCGTTCAATAGTCCGTAGGCCAATGGTGGAGATATGTTTGATAAATCTTGTTCATCTTTAATGTGTACGACGTCGTTTTTAGATTTAATATATATCCTTCCTCCTCGTGTCCAAACATTTCTGGGATTGAATATTTTTATCGCTTTCATAAATAATTTATAACTCTTTTCAACTAGATCTTCGTTGATGAAAATACCAGTGCCTTTAAGGCATCTTCTTGAATTGAACACTTCGTTTCTTTTTATACAGCTTACAAATTCTACAACTATTGTTCGTGTATAATCTTTCTGTAATTTTCCCACTCGATAAATGTTGTTAATTTCCAGAAATGAACATTTAATTTTTAGATTGTTATTCAATAAATTAATGAAAATCGACAGTAAGTTTTCGTTATCCATTTATTTAACACCCATTAACCTTATGCGATTTTTTTTGAAATTATATTCTATATCATCCATTCTCTTTATGTTTTTTTGGATAGCATTTACATTGGTTTCAACCGTTTTATCGAGATTATCAATTTTATGACAAAGACTATCGAATTTTTCACTCATTTGTTCAAACTTCTGGTCAAATTGTTGTTCAATTTTGTTCATGAACTTTTCACATACCTTATTTATAATTGCTTCCATTGCAGACTCATCCACCTTTTGTTGGTTCGCACTTCGAGTACTCACATTCGTGGGCATGGCCTATTGACTATTAAGGTTCCAATGATCGATATTATTTACGGAAACTTTCAATTTCAAATACCACTTATCTCGAGCGAAATTTTTATTCAATTACACTTTTCAATTGTTTGTCACTAATAACTTTATGTGTTGAACAACTTCTATAAATTTAAAGCAACAAAATACCTCCAAAATGGGCCCGTTCACTTTCATTTTTGAATGTGAATTAATTATATATTTATAAAGATAATAAACTCTTTTGTCTGGTGGTACTTTTCCCGTTAAAATATTTTTGCTAGAAGTAAGGGAATTCCCATAAAATTCTTTCAGTGACTCATTGCGTCAGAAAATCCCTAATTCCGTTCACGTCTCGTATCGGTTATGCTTAAAGACAGCGAGGTTGTCGGAAGTATCCCTAATATAGCATTTCTGCATTTATATATGTAATTTAAATAGTAAAATTCCATTATTTTTCTAAAAATCATGAACTTATATTTTCAGATTTAAAGCTGGGAGCTTATTTTATACTTTTTAATTAAAACAATTATTATTACTCCGGCTGAAAATTAACAAGACCATAATCAAAAAGTAGAAATTTGATTTGCAATATTTATCTGGTAAACGTGGCAACGTTGCATTTATTTCTAGAAGTGTGTTAGACAACACTATTTAGAAGCACTTACAACGTTGTCACGTTTACCAGATACATTTTCTCAAATAAAATTTCGATCCGGTAATATTCAGCTTGAGTAATACTAATTGTTTTTATTAAAATTTAAAAAAGGTAAGGCTTCCAGCTTTATCTGAAAATATAAACACATTATATTTAAAAAATAATATATTTTTATCATGTAAATTTCTTTAATAAATGCAGAAGAGAAATGGTGGTGCAGATACATCCGACAACCGCGCCCTTTTAACTATTAACCGATACAAGACCTGAAGGGAATTAGGGGTTTTCTGACGCAATGAGTCACTGAAAGAATTTTATGGGAATTCCCTTACTTCTAGCAAAAATATCTTAACGGGAAAAGTACCACCAGACAAAAGAGTTTAATATCTTTATAAATATATAAATAATTAACATTTAAAAATGAAAGTGAACGGGCCCATTAGCCAAAATTCACAGGAGCGCTTGAATACGTTCACACCTGATTGCTGCTCGACATTATATCATGTTCATTAAGAGTTACAACTGTCCAACTATGCAAATCCTACTTCAGAAATATCTAAACGACATTGAAAATTGGTCAAATGAAACAGGTCTTCAATTCTCTACTTCCAAAACAAAGTGTGTGCTCTTTACAAAGCAACGCAAAGAGCATAAAATATCGTTAAAATTATACAAACAAACAATTCGTCCAATCGATCAAATTTTTGGGCATGACATTCGATCATAAATTAAACTGGAATGAACACATAAAAAAACTGATCCTTTCATGTCAAAATGGGCTAAATCTACTAAAAGCGTTTTCAAATGAAAACTGGGGTTGTGATCAGACTACTCTTCTTCAAATCTACAAATACCAGAATCGACTACGGAGCTATAGCATACTTCTCTGCAAAGCCACTTATTCTAAAAACCGTTGACACTATTCAAAATGAAGCATTTCGCACCATCTCAGGTACTTATCGAACTTCAGCTATCGTGAGCTTACAAGCTGAGCTAGGAGAACCATCACTTTCAAGAAGAAGACAGTTTTTAACGCTCTCATACGCCTCAACCATTTTAGCCTACAAACAACATCCAGTCTACAAAAATTCTCACTCAAAAAGGTACAGCCAAATATATCAACAGAAAAAAAGAATTGATCCCCCATTTTATTATAGAGTAAGCAAAGAAGTAGTCAACCTTGAAATCAATTTTCCACGAATCATATCTCCACAAATAAATACAATTTACCCATGGCTACTCCAAAGCCCGTCAGTTGATACAAGCTTAACAATCTACAACAAACATGAAACTTCCACTAAACTAATACATGATACTCTAATTTCAAAGCTAGCCTCCTACTCAAACTTTTAACATATATACACAGATGCTTCCAAAACAGACAATGGTGTCGGATCAGCAGTTATCACTCCAACTATTCGACTCCAATACAAATTACCTATGCTAAGTAATGTGTTCACGCTATATATCAAGCACTGGTCTACATTAAAACATCCAATCATAAAAAATCACTTATAATCACCGATTTACTTAGTTCTCTAATGGAAATTCAGAAAGTATACTCCTTTCACCCTATGAATCTTCTCATTTAGACCGAGCTGCACCAACTTCAAAGCACCAAAGTGGACATAAGGTTTTTATGGACTCCTTCCCATATTGGACTTTTTGGAAATAAGGCAGCTGACAAGTGGGCCCGTGACGCAGTGATAAAAGAGCTTATTAAAGTTAAGAAAAATTTAGTAAAATTAGGCGAATTTTAGATTTGCACCAAAATGAATACATAGAAATAAGGAGAAAACTTAAATCACTGACAAAAATCGAATATAAAAAAATATGTTAAGAATATAGAAGATACAACTAATAAAAATATAAATAAATTTTGGAATTATATTAATACAAAAAGAGGCAGTTTTACTCTCAATGACAATGAAATTAAATCTCAAGATACCGCAAAATATTTTGCAGAATTTTCTACCACTACGTACTCATTAAATAAGTCAAAATATTCTCTGTAAAATAAAAATAATGAACTCTGGGTTAATAATAGCTTGACAATAAATACAATAAATGAATCTGAATATTTAGCAGCAATAAAAAAAGTTGAAACCTAAAAAGGCTGCGGGTACTGATGGCATCCCTCCATATGTATTAAAAGGTTGCCATGAAGTTTTAAAAGTGTCACTTCATATCTTTAACCTTATCATAAAAACCTCAACATTCCCTGTTATGTGGAAAACTGCAGTTTGTATACCAATTCATAAGTCAGGTAGTATACGCAATATTGAACATTACAGATCATCTCTATTATGTGTGCTCCCTCTAAAGTATTTGAGCAAATAATTTACTGAAAATTATATAACTTCGTTCAAAACAGTATCACTGATGAACAGCATGGATTTATGAAAGGCAGAGTAATCAATTCAAATTTATTTCTTTACAGAAAGAAGTTACAGATGGACACAATTGTTACTGATTTTAGTAAAGCTTTTTACCGGGTTGATCAAGATATTTTACTAGGAAAAATTAGTCAGTTTGGGTTATCAAATAATATATTGTTGCTCTTCAAGAGTTATTTAAAAGATAGATATTTTTATGTGAGGCATAATGGTAATACCTCGAAAAAGTTCCAAGCTTTTTCCGGAGTTCCACAGGGATCAAACTTGGGACCACTACTAGTTTTACTAGTTGTCAATGAGTTATTCAATATTCTAAATGTTTACTTTTTGCCGATGATCTTAAAGTATATAAAGAGATCAAAACAGTCCGTAATTGTGTCGCGCTCCAAAATGATATAAATGTAATATATTAATGGAGCCAGGAAAACAAAATTAAATTTTAATATCAAAAAATGTCACTACATAACTATTATTCGGCAAAGACAACCAAATATTATTTGACTATCAAATGAATGGCGAATCACTAAAGAGATGTCTGGAGGTCAAGGACTTAGGAGTTACTTATAATAGCAAGTTATAGTTTTCTCCACATATCGAAAAGACTGTTAAAGCCTCTAATTGTGCGTTGGGTTTTTAATAAAACAATCACAACCGTTCTCAAATATAAATTTATTAAGGTCCCTTAATTTTACATTATTGCGGTCCAAAATGGATTTTGCTTCGATTATATGGCAGGAACAATATCAAATTGCATTACAAGAATTGGAAAAATTACAGAATAAATTCTTAAGATATCTATATTTTAAAAAGTATTACATTATACCGAATTGCAATACTGTTAGAACAGTACAATTAAGGAGTGAATTTAAAATTACTTCATTAGAATCTAGGCGAAAAATTACATGCATTTTATTCACTTATAAAATTATTAATGACCAAATGCACTGTCCGGATCTTCTGGCTCTTGTACCATTTTCTGTTCTTCCTCGTCCAATGAGAAATACAAATATGTTTTCTATTCCCTTTACCTCAACAACATCCAGAACTTCTCTCCTAATGATAATTGGTTTAGCAAACAATATTAATATGCTGCTTAATGTAAATTGGTACGCAAAATATGATAAGTTCAGAAATCAAGTTATTGTTCATATTTGCAATTTGGCTATTTAAACAATCCATTGATATTTACACCCCTCTCTCCCTGTGATGTTCTGATATCTATAATGTTTAATAAGTATAATTTGATTCATAATTTAAATATTTAAAATTATTTTTTATATAATTTTCTCTTGTAATATTAATAGTAATTTAATTATCCTTTTAATTAGGTCAATAGGCCTGTTTGGATAATAATTAAATAAATAAATAAAAAAGTAAAGCAACGGCTTGAGTAAAGTGCTGACCTTGATTTCGTTTGTTTTTTTGTTTAATTTTAATAATATTAAAATACATTATTATTAATTTTTGTGATATTTATCTTAAAATTTGTTATTTTATCATAATAACATCGACATTATTATTTAAAATTAACTAGATTTTTCGTTAATGGGTCGTAGATAAAAATATACTGTACAACTCAAGTGAATTTTCTATATCCACTCTTGTTGCATAAACTTCTATAGTTGAAAACTAACGTAACGTCTTTGATCAGGTTAGTTTTAAAGAGCCACTTCAAATGACAAAATGTACAAAAAAGTGTCGGTATCACAGATGTGTCGTTTCAAATAGGTAAACACAGTAGTTTACAGAAGTTGGAATAAAAGAAGACAGAAGTATTTCGAATGGAATATCCAATATTTTTTGTAATAACATGGATTTGGGATTGTACACATTTATATTATGGATTTGGCAGAAAAACGAAACAAATACAAATGCGCTCGCTGCCGTGAACGCAAATCTACGATACGATGTAATTTAATAAAGTAATATGTAAATGGTTGGCGGAGGCA